TTGAAAAAATAATGAAGATACACGAATTCCATTTATTTTTATCTCTTACTTATGAATAGTCATACTTAAGGTAGGGCGCCATGGAATAATTTTAATTTAAAAAGGGCGTTGCGACTAGGAAAACATTTGGGAACTACTGGTTTAAGCGGATGAAAGATGGAAGATGGCAAGCCAAATCTTCTTTATACAATCCAACAATCCTGCTCTAGGTTTCAATGAAGCCAATCTACGAAACCCTTCAATTCGCATTTTTTAATTAAACGAAGGGTACGCCAGCATAAAGATATTACGAGCCTCATCCAAACCCAGCTTCTTTTCATAGCTGGGAATTCTTAAAGCTCTTTTTATTATAAAAAGCGAATTCCCTCTATAAAACTAATTTAACAATCAGTAATTTATAGGGCTACCTTAAAGGCAATTACGCACATCGTGAATCATTGCTTCTATCTCCAAATATGGCTCAGGAGTGGTGATTCGCTATTTAATTTTGTTATTTTTAGGTAAATTATAAGGAAAGCTTTAGCTTATCGAAAAATGTATCAAAAAATTGTATTTAACCCGAGCTGACTTCTCCTAACTAGCAGTATAGCATATTTTGCTCTTATATTTAAGGAATTCTGAAACAAATGTGTTTTAACTTTTAATAAATAAATCAATAGTAGAATTGTCTAAATGTCGGTTTTAATATGACTAGTTGCTTACATTTATCCTTGGCAAATTAAATGTCAAGCGTCAAAGGCGTCTTCATATTTCCTTATCGAATTTCTCGAATCCAGGGAGTAAATCCTTTTCTTAAAGATATTTTGAAGACATTTGGAACTATTCGTTGTATTGAAGAGATGAAGACCAAGATGTTGTGGCCTCTGTTATGGTCGCAGTCTCCTTGCGATTTATAGAAGTGGGTTGACCTCGTTGTCGCAACTTGGTCTTGTTGTCAGGGTGACTTAGGAGAACGCACCTAGTCCGACGTCGTCTGCCATAGTAGCTGTCACGATTCCCAGCATCAGATAGTCGACTTGGTACATTCTCAAACGTTTCGCCGGCATCGTAGTCGGCATCATCAGTCAGTTTTGCCATTCTCCGCCTACGAACTCGTCAAAGAGACAAGTGCGAAGAAGTCTTCGGCTCACCGTCCTGCGACACGGATAAAACTGTGCTAAGCTCTCGTCTGTACTTTGACATACATCATCAGAGCAAGACGCTTTGCTTATCCGTCTGCCCAGCTCCCTGACTGCCAGGCCCTCAAAGGGGCACAAATTTTGACGAGTGGAATTTAAACAAGTCAGAAGTTGTGATAGTGTGAGAGTTGGATAAGAGGGTAAAGAGTAGATAGATAGGCTAGGACAAAAAGACGAGTGATAATATAACCGTTTTCGGCAGAACGTTTGTCGAGGGACTAACTTCACTTTTCTCTTTGACGAGTTCGTCGCTTGATGCGGAGAATGGCAAAACTCACTGATGATGCCGACTATGATGCCGTTGAAATGTTTGCGAATGTACCAAGTCCAATGTCTAATGCTGGGAATCATGACAACTACTATGGCAGACGACTTCGGACTAGGTGCCTTCTACTAAGTCACCCTGACAACAAGACCAAGTTGCGACAACGAGGTCAACCCACTTCTATTCTGTGTATTGTCCTCTTGATTCATGATCTTAAGTACGACGCATCAGTCTACACTGCTCAAGATAGCTATTTTCCTAGGAACAGTAGTTCTACCAACGTCCTGTAAAATACGAAATTCAAACTGGAATTATTAGCCAGCTTCAATTCTAATAATTAATTAAAATTTTGAATATTTTGAATTTTTACTTAACAAGTAAAATTCATGGATATTTTTCAACAATTATGCAAAACCAAAGTAATAACTAGCAGGACTGCAATTTACATACCTTAATCTATTATAGATTCATGAGTAAATTTTCGAGATTACCAGTAAATCTTATCTAAAAGCTGCATTCACCCTATTTCGTTTAAAGTGACAAAGGGACGACTAGTAGTTGAATTTTCCCACAATTACTTGAGAAGGCACCATGTTTATATTGAATTGATAATAAGAGCTGTACTATCTCAACCAGGGGTCGAGTCCCATTTGGGGGGCTGATGATAGCCAGACGAGGTCGAAACTGGAGTCCAGTCAAGTCGGGATGAAAATACCTTTTTGGAAGTAAAGCTAAGGGAGGTTTAATAGAAACATAAGGCTTACTCATATGATTGTGGAAAAATTCAACTACCAGCCCTCCATCACCTTAACTGAAATAAGGTAAATACAGTTCTTCTAATCTAGTTCAAAACCTGTATTATTTAATTAACCCGCATACTCTTTTATTCGAAACGACCTTGTCAGTAAAAATAGCTAATGCGACCAAAGCAAATGTGTTGAGATTGGTGGAACAATTTAAAGTTAAGGTAGCTGGCAAATGCAAACTACAATGTCACCGTTCTTGCACTTAAATCTTTGTATCTATTGCCCAAGTTTTCAGTGATATCACTCACATTCTGCAAAACGGTTTAATCTTTTTTATCCATGTTTGCGAGTAACTTGTTGAACTCGTTCTTATATCGAGTGAAAGTGTTTGTTGAAGAAATAACAAGGTCGTTCCCACCAAAAGACAACGGCGGATTCACTTTAACAGCAGTCGATTGTCTTTACTGGAACATTCAGGTTGAGGTTGCTTCCGATGTAATCTCTTGTGATTCAACCTTGGCGGAAAAGTGCTCAGCTTTCGTCCGTTATATGACGAAGATCATCAGAGCAGGGTGTCATCTTTACACTCATATTAAAGCAACAAGTCAAAAAAACTCGCTTGATTAGCCCTATATTCCGTATATATAACATATATCTAAGCTCTTTGAAGAGGTATTAAGTTATCTGGTTGGTTTAAGTTATACTCCAAACTCGAGGCAAAACAACTTTGAGACTATTCAAACTCATGTCATGTGTTCTGATAGCAGTGCATTTTTAGGCCAACAGCTACAGGCACTTTTGTGCCCAGCCATCCTTTTTCGAATGTGACGACAAGTCTGTCTAACATAAAAGCGACAACAAAACCGCTATGTTATAACAACCCGTTCTGGATAATGGTTAAACTTTTTCTCTAAAACTGAGCATAACTAAAAAAGTGAAGAAGTTGTTTGACCTTGTTTTCGCAACTTGTTCATATTGGTAGAAGGACTTAGAGGAACGCACCTAGTCCGGAGTCCATTGAATGCATCATCATTTCTAAAGTCGGACCGTGGACGTGGTACATTCCCAGACGTTTCGCCGGCATCGTCAGTGAGTCTCCCCATTCTTAGCACCACGCAACAACTCGTCAAAGTGACAAGTGAAGCCGGTCCTTTGACCAAACGCGTGCTAAACAGTTTTGGTA